AGAAAGTGATAGTGAGGATGATATTGTTAATGATGAAATGTTTATAATGGTAAACTCAGATAAACAAATAAATGCGGTAAATTTACGAGTAGACTATATGTATCATGGTAAGCAATTAAAAAATATATGTCTATATGACTATATAGCAACAATTCATAAAATAAAAATTAATAGTAATGAATTGGACAAGCTAAATAGACAAAAAAATCGTGAAGGACATATGACAAGGGTAGATCGATTCTTATTTTTAGGTGGAGAAAAAAAGTGCGATAAAACTTGCAATCATAGTATAATACATCCACAACATGCAACACATATACAAGTCCATTGGACTCATGAAAATGAAAGAATACATGTATTGTGTGAAAAAAGTATACCACGTAAAAATGATTTAAAAAATGCAGAAAGATACGGACTATGTATCCTTCTGTTGTTTAAACCATGGACTGCTGTAAGTGATCTGATAACTATATACAACTCATGGTGTGATGCCTGTGACACTTTCTTACAAAGCTCAGACTTATCTGCATGGTTACGATTTGTAATTGATAACATTAAACTATTACATCGATGCATAGAAGAAACTATTTTAAATCGTCAATTACGTCAAATGGCCTACAAAAACCCGGAGATTGCCAAAATCCAACGAATAGAAAAATCTGTGCTAGGTTATGACAATACTGGTGATGCAGAAATACTGGATAACAGGATAATTTCAGTACTGATAACTTAGTTTTGTTAAATCCATATGAAATCATGTGTTCTGGACTATATAATACGAAATTTGTTGATGACGCCATGCTTCATTTATATTTAAAAGACAAGTTTAATGATAAGAAAGAAGGACAACTGAACTTTCAAAGAAAATTTGATACTATGAATTATAATGATGAAGAACATATACGACCTTCTTGTGAAAATGATAGTAACTTAATTAAGACATAGCAAAAAACAATAGCATCGAGAAAAAAAAATAGAACAAATAGATACAAATATAAGTTCTGAAGAAAACTATTACTCGAAACCTTGTACTTATACATCTAATAAAAAAACCCAACTATTCTGTAATCCAAAATTCAAAAAATTTCAGCTAATCTGAACAATGAACAAAAAAGGCTTTCATGCTTGTCTGTAATCACCACGAACAAACCTACCCCGGTAATCCTAATAAACTACCTCAATTATTAATGTATTTAGATGGTGCCGGAGGCACAGGAAAATCAAAAGTTATCGAGGCTATTAAAGAATACTTCGATCTAATAGATCAAAATCATTCTCTTGTTATTTGTACACCGACTGGTATTGCTGCTTCAAATATCAGTGGTTGTACTCTTCATTCTCTGTGTGGATTTGGGTTTGATGATAATGCTAATGATTATAAATATAAATTCTCTCAAGGAATATCAAAAAAAACACTCCAGGAATGTTGGACGAATATAGAGTATCTCATCATAGACGAAGTTTCAATGATAGGACAAAAACTTATAACGCGACTGCATGCATGCATTAAAGAAGCAAAAAATTTTCAAGATAACACTGTACCTTTTGCAAACATGAATTTTTGTTGGAGATTTCCTACAACTCCCACCAGTACTTGATCAACCCTTATACCAGTCTAATAAAGTAGAAGCGAATATAAATTCGCAGAAAAATCAGATACGAAATACAAATTGAAATAATACTCGAATGCTAGTTAATATCAATAGTAGAGAACTATGGAAATTAGTAAAGCATGTGATTATTCTAAAAAACAAATGCGTTAGATTGATGACCCGATATATGCATCTATGTTAAATAATTTGCGTCGTGGTCATCTAACACCAGTGCAATACAAAACTCTTCATAATTGTGTAATGACAGAAGATAAGGTAAATTTACCGGAATGGAGAGACACTGTGTTTTTGGTCTGGAGGAATGATTTACGTGTTCAAATCAATTTCAAAGCCACTATAGAACATGCCAGATACTATAATCAGCCAGTTTATTATATATATGCTGAAGATACGTATAAGAACAAACCAGTTTATGGCAAAATATGGCAAAGATTTCTAAGTGTATCAGACACCAAATCAAATCCTCTGTGTGGTATATTACCGCTATCAATAGGTATGAAGGTGGCACTAACAATCAATATTTGCACCAATGACAGTATGGTAAATAGTGTCCAAGGTATAGTTCGCAAGATTGTATATAATGTTGAATCATCAGCGGAGGAAAGTACAAACATTTATAGAGAAAAAACTATTATCTTTAACAAACCTCCAAAATATGTAATAATAGAACTCTTGAATCACAAACCGGGCTCATATGATAACCTTCCTCCGAATAATATACCAGTGTATCCGATTAAACGAAAATGTAAATATATGCATAGGATAAAAAATGGAACGGATATAACCCAAACTCAGTTATCTACAACTCTGGCCTTCATGATTACAGAGTTCAAATGTCAAAGCACTACGCTAAAAAAAGCAATTATTGATCTAAATGGTGGAAAAACAGGAGCTGGTACTTATGTAATGTTATCTCGAGTACAAAAATTAGAAAATATTATGTTACTTCGACCTTTCGACTAAACTAAACTTAATGTAATGATCGATCCAGATCTTAAAAAAGAACTTGAACGTTTTGAAAAATGCTCAGAGATTACAGAAACTTTATATCACAATTACGTAGATCTATCGTAACACTCGGGACCCATATGAACAAATCAGCGAAAATAATCTTCAAACTCATAAAATAATACTCCATTCGAACAACAACATTCCACCTTGCATAAAATTGCATCGAGTAGTGCTTCTAAAAATACTGCTAAATTTAGAACCTTTAAAAAATTATGTAACGTTATACATAACACACCGTAAAAACTAGTTAAATAACATTTTATAATCATATAAACTTAAAAAAAAAATAGAAATAGCAATATACGAAAATAATAAAAAATCGCTTCAGACTATATTAATTCAAATCAAATGCACAAGAATTGACTATGAAACTCCGTTTATTCTATCATATAATAATCGACTTATCTTCAATCCTTACTAATTACAAATCTCAGTACCAGTAATACTGCTGCTAATACTATAATTATTAATTCAATTACCCTCCAATTAATCCTGACTATTTAACTATTCAACACATACTACTCAAAACAAATTGATAGTCTTGTCAAATTTCTATACTACATACTTTGTAATTACTGAATTGAATAATATAATAAAGTCGAAAAAGCAAATTACCGTTGATACACCTAACACTTCAATTTTATTATAAGTGATGGCAACACATCGTTATCAAACATTTAACATGCAACAAATCTACAACCCACATGAACTAATAACATTTACACTATTATATGCAAAAAATATCGAAACATACTTATTACATATTTGCATAGAACATATTATTAAAAAAAAACAATAAACCATAAAATGAAACTGTTTCTTCCTATTCACATCATCAAATGTTAAACCTGACGTCTCAAATTATGCACTACAGGTTGTGTCATCTTTTCCTTTCCCTTTTCTTTATTTTCACCTGTAATACTCTTTTCAAACTCACCATTACTGTCTCTGTATTTCTTATCATGTTCAACTGTCTGACTACAACTACTATAATCATCTTCATCATCTACATCTTCAACTCTCGTATGTCTTGAACTAGGACCATCAATAACTGAATCTGCTAAATGTTTATCTGCTTTGGCTAAAAATACCTGAGATAACTTTCTGTTAGAATTCTGATGGGCAGTTAAGAGCTTTGATCGAACAGACCTATACACCTCAAATGTAGTTTGGAAACTACCTAAGCTGGAAACTTTCCTTTTAACTGTGGAATTAACCACAACAAAAGAAACATCAGCAGCATATACATAAAGATCCTCCTGTATAACTTCCATATACCCAACAACAAAAAGTGTCAATTCATTTGAGCGAAGAGAACTCATTAAATATTTAAATCGACTACTATTACGAGGAAATACAACCTTAATAACGAAACTGTAATTCTTGCTAGCATAATCATTAACCGACGACTTAAACATTGCACTTTTACTATCGATTTCCTCTGGAATATCTTGAGCTACCCCTACTAATGAGGCTTTCAAAGGACATCTATTCGAACCAAGATCTCTTCGAATTGTGAGATGAGTTGATGATATAGCCGTCATCTAAATTTAATAATCATCAATAATACGAACACTAACATACATCATTAAATATAAATGAACTTACTTTTAATCTCAGTTTACTGTTATACATTCCGGGCACAACTTTTTCACAAACACTATCCCTTAAATTGTAACACAGGCAAATTTGCCTGCGAAGATTTTTACTAATTTTTTTAATATTTAAATTTTTTA